AAAAAAAGCACCAGGTTGGAATGCATTGAAACTAATATAAGAAGCATGGAAAATTATTAATTTTGATGGCATTTATTCTAATGGGCACAGAAAGATCTTGGAGAGACCATTGTTTGAAACCATTTTTAATTTGTCCAGGCAGAAAGAGAAAAGATACTCCTGTACCTCTCTGTTAACAGCAAATGTTTAAATCTTTCCCCAAGAAGTTTATATATGTAATTGTTCGTGAATGTTTCTCAAAATAGGTAAAATATTCATTGTTCACACTCGTCCACAGAACCCTGATGGAAAAGAGATGGCATATCTTTTGGAAAACTTAAAATATCAAATGTATTTTGTTTCATGTTTCAAGTGAACACCATCGTTTTTTTCTTCCCCTCTCTGTGTGTGACCAGGTTTAACTTCACTCTGCGACACATGGATATTTCCTGCGACGCGTACAATCATTTCAAACACTGTCTGTCCCAGCTGCAGGACATGCAGGATGGATGCTGCCGATTCAAGGTGGAACGGGTCTCGTTAAACTTTTCACAGTTTCTTCTTTATGAACGCGTTGAGCAACTGGTAAGAAAAACATTTGCTGACATCATCCCACCTTTCTGTGTTACACACTGCATCATATACATATGAATTTTAGATACACACTTTATTTGTATAACCCCAATTCCAGTGATGTTGAGACGATGTGGAAAAACATAAATAAAAACGGAACATGATGATTTGCAAATCCTGTTAAACCTATATTCAATTGAAAACACTACAAAGACAAGAAATTTAATGTTCAAACAGATAAACTTTATTGTTTTTTGCAAATATTCACTCATTTTGAATTTGATGCCTGCAACACGTTCTAAAAATGCTGGAACAGGGTCATGTTTACCACTGTGTTACATCAGCTTTCCTTCTAACACTCAATAAGAGTTTAGGAACTGAGGACACTTATTGCTGAAGCTGTAGCTAGAATTGTTTCCCATTCTTGCTTGATGAACAACTTCATTTGCTCAGCAGTCTGGTCTGTTGTCATATTTTGCACATTATAATGCGCCACATATTTTCAGTGGGAGACAGGTCTGTACTGCAGACAGACCAGTCTAGTACCTGCATTCTTTTACTACAAAGCCACACTGTTGGAACACTGTAGCTTTGCAATGTCTTGCTGAAATCAGCAGGACGTCCCTGAAAAAGACATGGCTTGGATGGCAGCATATGTTGCTCACAGTGTAGTGAGAGGAGGAGGAGGAGGACAGGGCGAACTTGGCATTTCCTCACAGATGGGTTCTGAGACATAAAACAAATTTGAAGTTGAGTTTTTGAAAAAAATGTTTCGCCCACACATTATAGACGTAGAGATTTTCTCTATACATCTGTAAATGTGCAAAATGGGGGGAAGTCTGTGTAATTTACAGAGAATCTGTACAACCTGACATGTATGATAATGGCATGGTGAACTCTGATTACAATGATTTAAAAGAACCAGACCTGTTTTTAATACAGTGGCCCCTGAGGGACCAAAGATCACAACCATCCAATACTGACTTTCAGCCATGTTCTTTGAGCTCGGAGGTTTTTCCATATTCTTTAAATCTTATGATATTTTAAACCATATATGATGTGATATCTAAAGTCCTCCCAAATTTTCATTAAGGGCCGTTATTCGAAAGTTGTTCCACTATTTTCTGACAGTTTCTTACAGACTGTTGAGCCTGGGAACCTGAGAATGTTCTGGGTTTGATCCCTGGTTCAGACCTGAGGTCTTTCTGTGTGGAGTTTGCATGTTGTCCTCGTGCTTGTGTGGCGTGTGTCGTGATGTGTACTGCAGTGGGAGGGCTTTTCCCAGGAGCTCTGCAACGTGTGTCTCATGAAATATGAAAGG